TCTTTCTAGTATCTGTATTTTACTTGTTTAAATCTGCTTAGTTGTTTCACAGAGTCACTCACGATAAATCTTTTTAATTCATAGGAAATTTAGATATTTATGCTTAAGACGCAAAGGAATTTACTAAAAAAAAAAAATGCTAAAGAGTCACTCCTCTGAGTCTTTCTAGTTTGTTTGAAGACAGTTTGGGAGTTCCTAGAGTCTCTGTGATCATATTCTCAGGGACTCAGTCACTAATGCTAATGTATTTTGGTTTTTGGAGGCATTTCTCTGAGAACTGTCTGGGTAAAGTGATTCAGTGTAATATTTGGAATATTTTCCTTATTGGTGTTTTGCTTGAACTTTATTAGATTTTTTTAGGGGGGGAGGGACAGAGGGAGAAGGAGAGAGAGAATTGTAAGCAGACTCCACACCCAGCACAGAACTGGGCACGGGGCTCGATCTCACAACCCTGAGATCATGACCTGAGCTGAAGTCAAGAGTCGAATACTTAACCAACTGAGTCACCCCGGTGCCCCTATTAGATTTTTTAAATAACAAAAGTGACATGATTTAACAAGTCATATAATACAGAAACATTTAAGAAATGTAACAATCTGCCCTCTACTCCTGCCCCCCAAGATAAATGTAACAGTTTGCTGTGTAACCTTCTGTGTCTTTATGCTCATGTTTATGTATATAACCATGATCCTTTAGTGATATGTGATATATATACATAAACACACACATACAACAGGGGGAGCTTGGGATATTTTGTTATTTAAAAATATCATTACAGGGCGCCTGGGTGGCTCAGTTGGTTAAGCGACTGCCTTCGGCTCAGGTCGTGATCCTGGAGTCCCAGGATCGAGTCCCGCATCGGGCTCCCTGCTCAGCGGGGGGTCTGCTTCTCCCTCTGACCCTCTTCCCTCTCGTGCTCTCTGAATCTCATTCTCTCTCTCTCAAATAAATAAATAAAATCTTTAAAAAAAATAAAAAAATAAAAAAAATAAAAATAAAAATATCATTACACCACATACATTATTCTACAATGTCTTTTTTCACTTAGTAATATATATATCATGGGTATCTCCAAAGCAATAATATACACCTAACACCCTTTCTACTAGCTGCATAATAGTACATGGTATGGGTATAGCAGTTTATTCAACTGTTCCTAATAGTGTACATTCAGGGCATTTAGAGGTAGATTTTTTTACATTACAAATAATGCCATAATAAAGATTCTTCAACATATATTCTTATACATTGCTTTTTTATTTCTATGGGCTACATTCTTCTAAGTGGAATCCTTAAAGCATATGGATATTTCAATTTTCAGGAGATATTTCCAGATTAATTTCACAAAAGATTGTAGCAATTGACAGCTATGTGTGAGATTGCCAGTTGCAGCTCCACCCTCAATAACATCAAATTCTGTTGCTCTTAATAATTGACAATCTGAACTTGAAACATTGTCCTGCTTAACTTGCATTTCCATACTATTAATAGAGTTATGTATATTTTCAGGTGTTTGTTGATGATTGCATTTTGTCTGCGAATACCCTGTTCATATCTTTGCCCATCCTTTTGCTGGGTTGTTTGTTTTCTTATGAATTAATAGGAAGAATTTGTACATTAGGGGAAATGACACTTGCCCTGTCACACACTATGCCAATTATTTTGTACCAATCTACCATTTGCTTTTCAACTTAATTTATTATATCTTTTCTCACATAATTAAAAAACTAAGTATGGAACTTTATTGTTTGGGAGGTGTATTTCAGATGGAAAGTAAATTGTGCCAAGACTATTTATTCAAATAGTCATACATTACCCTGAATTGAAATGTCAGCTTGGTTATATATCAAGCTACTACCTATCTTTGGATTTGTTCCTGTTGTCTCTATTTTATTTCATTGCTCTAGTAAGACCTCAACTATGATATATCATGCTAGTGTTCTCTATTGGAGTAAGTAAATTAAAATAATTATTTTGACTTGTTTACTATGAACATAGTGTTCTTCCATTCTTTCGGTATTGCCCCATAGACATTAAAATATAAAATGTTTTAAGCTAATGGGCAGGAATACCATTTTATCACAGTAGCTTTGTAATAAATTTTAATGTTTAGCAAGGCAAGATGGTACCCATGCTCTGCTCATGTATGCGTGTGCACCTGCTCATGCACACATACACACATCTTCCTTTAAAATTATTGCCTATTCTCAGATACTTATCCCTCCATATAAACTTTATGTTCATTTTGCCTGGTTTTATTTTATTTTATTTTTTTTTTTTTTTAAGATTTTATTTTTTATTTATTTATTTGAGAGAGAGAGAGAATGAGAGAGAGAGAGCATGAGGGGGGGAGGGTCAGAGGGAGAAGCAGACTCCCCGCTGAGCAGGGAGCCCGATGTGGGACTCGATCCCGGGACTCCAGGATCATGACCTGAGCCGAAGGCAGTCGCCTAACCAACTGAGCCACCCAGGCGCCCTTGCCTGGTTTTAAAACATCGGATTATGATTGCATTTGCATTAAATTATTGTAACCATCAGGAAATGATTGGCCTTTTTAATATTAAGACTGCCCACACGGAATCAGGAAATGTTTCTCTATTAGTTCATGTTTTGTTTTATACCCCTAAACAAAAATTATAGTTTTCCAAATACAGGTCCTGTGCCCTTCTTGTGTTGTGGGCTTTTGTTTTGTTGGTTTGGTTTGGCTAATATCAATGGAATTTTTTTTTCCATTTCTACTCCTAACTGGTTATTGCTATTATAGATACAATTATTATTCTGGGTTTTTCATATATTTATCTTGTACCTAATCACATTACCAATTTCTCTTATTACTTCCAAAAGAACATTATCAGCCTCTTGGCCTTCTTTTTTTTAAACAGATTTTATTTATTTATTTGAGTGAGAGAGCGAGCGAGCGAGAGCAGGAGCAGGGGGAGGGAAAGGGAGAAGCAGGCTCCCCGCTGAGCAGGGAGCCTGACACGGGCTTGATCCCAAGACCCTGGAATCATAACCTGAGCTGAAGGCAGACGCGTAACTGACTCAGCCACCTAGGCACCCCTAAATCTTCTTTTTTAAGATTTGATTTATTTATTTGAGAGAGGGAGAACACATGAGCAGGAGGAAGGACAGAGGGAGAGGGAGAAGCAGACTCCTGGCTGAGCAGGGAGCCCAATGTGGGGCTCGATCCCAGGACCCCAGGATCTGACCTGGGCCAAAGGCAAATGCTTAACTGACTGAGCCACCCACGTGCCCCAAACATAGTATTTCTAAGTCACTTTTGCAAGGGGTTACATTTGGATTTTTTTTCTTTTTTTTAACGATCAGCTGTTGGCTTTCCATATTCTTTCTTTGTTAATTTCTTGAAGTACACTGTGCAAGAGATGATGGAGGAGACCCCCTTAATGGTGAGATTTTAGGCCACTGGAAAGAGCTGGGCCCTTGATGAATTCTGTCCTGGCTACTGCCCAATGCCTGGAATTCCAGTCAGAGCTCCATTCCTTTAGCAGAGTTCCTTATTGCCTCAGGTTATAGCATCACTTGGAGAAACTAAGGGAAGGAGTGGGATGCATCCGAGGAAAAAGCATGTTTCACACCATTTGCAACAAAGGAAATTTATTTTTTATGCTCGTACAGAATATAAAAACAATCTTTATGCTTGTACTTCACTGCCATTTTTCAGACAGAAATTAATGGCCATTTTTTGAAAAAGAGGCAAAATTGTTACAAAGATATGCAAATGTGAAATACAGACAAATAAAAGATACTCTTTCATCTGTTCAAAGTGAATTTAACAGCAAAGTTGCTGCTGTTGAGCTTGAATGAGAGGATGAAATTGTGGAGTGCTATGTGATAAAACACAAATGCCATCTTTGACGTTCAGTGGTTTCTAGCTTTTGATTTGGCCGACAAGTGATGAAAAACTCTTGTTCACAAACATAGTTCACTAACGCAGTAATAGAATCAGAGCTCCCACGGCACGCTTTTTGAGACAAGGGCAGGCTTGAGGCAGATTTTTCCAGGACTCTTTGGGTTAATCCATGTAGCATCTGTTCCTTTGTGAGGTCATTTTTGGCATTGCCTGCATGCTTGATGTCAGCAAGTTAAGGGTCATGAACACACATTTAATTTCAAGATCACTGGAGCAGAAATAACCATCAAAAGGATTCTGTAGGGTTCCAGGTGCCTACAGATTTTTGCCTGCAGAAAAATTGGAAAAAAAAAATCACTCTCTATTTCAGCCTAAAGAAATACTTTTTTCTAGCATTGAAAATTCAATGTGATTGCCTCTTCCTGTCTTCTTTTCCAGAGGAGCAGTTTGCATGGAAGAGAGGGTTAGCAGCTTTCCTAATAGAATGTAAGGCTTTGAATGGAAAGAATGACCTCGTTGATTTGATTAGAAGTATCCACCAATAAGCCATGAATAAAGTCATCCATGTCCAGTTGTCCTAAGTAAATATTCCTTTACTTGTAACATATTTGTTTTCCTGAAGATCATTCAGGTGCTGAAGACCTGTCTTCTAGAAAGCCAGCAAATTTCTGTATATAAGAAAAGTACATTATTTTCTGCTGCCCTTCTTGTTTCAAACTAACTCCTCAAGAAGTGGTGGTTTGAGGATCTGAAGTAGATGTCTTCCATGAAAATGGGCCACCAGGCTTAACACGGGAAAGTTGGCAGTTTTCTTTGCCATCAGTGTTTGCCTAGGTAGAAAGCCATGAAGCACATACATTTCTTCTCCAAAGCTGGAGGTATAGATGTTCTGCAAAGCATCACAGAGCTCCATCTCTATGGAGAATATTGAGATGGTTTTTCTAGTGGCAATTTTACTTTGCAGATTCCATTCTAAAGTTATCAGTGGTCTCTGCATATCTAAAGGGGGATTATAAAAGGTATTCTTTGATGGTGGTAGTGCAACACAAGGGAGGAAAATCAAAAAGTGATCCCATGGTAGGTCCTGCTAAGGGCATAGCTGACAATTTCTCCATTTCTTCTTTATTAGGTAGCATCTCTCTATAAAGAAGAGCTTTCTTTCATCACCTGGAGATGAGCCTCTGTTCCTTCTATAAGGTAAGAGTTACAGTCTCTTCCTCTCCTCCCAGAATAAAGCCTTATGATTAATAATCACCTCCAATAGTGTTAAATGAATTTCTTCTTTTTTACCCCGTTCTTTTCCTTCTTTTTAAGTTTGAATGTCATATGGACCAGGGATTTTTATTTATTTACTTTTACCATCACTGTATAGTCATTATTCCTTCTGATGCTCCAGTTGTCCTAAATTTAGCTCCTTCATTCTGGCTTTGGAGCCCTTTTGAAACATCCCCATTAGACTTTGAGCGCTTTCTTGCCTTAGGGCAAACAGATGTTCGCCTTGCCATGTACTTTCCATGCTCCAGACCTGAAATGGCTCATTTCTCTAAGAAGTCCTGCTTCCCTTTAGTAGAAAATATTATTTACAAATCAAAGTCTGGGCTCTCTAGAAGTCTACATTGTCAATGGGGAAAAATATTTTAGATGTTATAGCCTGGCAACTACAGTCATTAGACCTTTTTTACCCTTTTATGCACAACAGCATCCCAGGCTGGCAAATACTCTAAAATTGTTTTGAGTGAATTTCTACTTTAATAGCATACTTAGGCATAACTTTTTTTTTCAAAATGAATTTTAAAATCAAAGAAAAAGATCATTTTGGAGAAGATTTAAAGAACCCTGCAAAGGTTCCTCAGAGCTCCCCAAGAAGTGCCTGGATTTGTGTTTAGGAATTCTCTATAGGTTAGAGAATGGCTGTCCATTGTTATCACCTGGGAAGTTTTACAACAAATCCTGATACCAAGGTCCTGCCTCAGAACTATTAAACCAGAATATTTAGGGGTCTGTCTTAGCATCATTGTCTTTGTTTGGTATTTTGTTTTGTTTAAATCCTCCAGGTGATTCTAATGTGCAGCCAGAGTTGAGAACCCTTCTGTTAAGCAAGCCAACACCCATCGAGAATAGTAACACCTAAATATATAATAGTATACTAATAATATATATAATAATATATAATAATAACACCTTCTACATTTCATTGATCCCAAGGAGAAATGAAATAGCCAGGACAATGGGCGTCTGGGCAATTGTTGGAAGGTGCAGGGAAGAAAAAAAAAAAAGAAAAAGTACAGGCTTCATATACAAAATGAACTGCTTTTTTGCTTCGATCAAATCTGATGACCAAGACCTCCAAAGTGTTTACTCAAGAAGCAATAAAACTTTATCAGGAAATATTTGAGCTGCTGGCCGACTGACAGAGTTAATGCACCCGTTGGATAATTCCAGCCTTGACGTTTATCCATGTCACCGTGTCCCAGGGTTTGCTGGCTACCATTGCTCCTATTCTGGAAGAACTTGGAGCTGGAACTCAAAGCTACCACTGCTTTTCTTCTGATGCATAAAATAATTTCCCAAATCTATCATGTCACTAGGTGTCTCTCTGGATATAATGGCCTGAAATCTGAAACAATGGAACTGCTACTGGGGAGAAATGGCTTTCCCATTTAATTTGTCAGACTTCCAACCCCTCAAGTTGCAGCCAAACCTCTATATTTCAGAATTCAATCATAATTGATTGAAAATGTTTTCTTAAGAGCCAGTTGACTAAAGACAATGTCCTAGAAGGTTTTGTCCTTCCAGCTTTTTAATACATAAATTTTCAAACATGCAGAAAAGTTGAAAAAAGTAGCACAACAAAGATCTGTGTATCCCACACTCAGATTGAACAATTGACGGCATTTTGTTGTGACTATCAGTGTGCGAGGGTTGGCATAACTGGGTGACTCAGACAACAGGGACTTATTTTTTCACAATTCCAGAGGCTAGAAGTTCAAGATCAAGGTGTGGACAGAGTTGGTTTCTTCTGAGGCCATTCTCCTTGGCTTGTATGGATGGCCATATTCCCTGTGTCTTCACTTGACCTTCTCTCTGGATATGTCTGTATCCTAATCTCTTCTTATAACGACACTAGTCAGATTGGATTAGAGCCTGCTCTAAGGGCCTCATTTTGACTTAAGCACCTCTTCAAAGACCGTATTTTTATTTTATTTATTTATTTTAAAGATTTTATTTTATTTGTTTTAGAAAGAGAGCGTGAGAGAGTGTAGGGCAGGGAGGAGCAGAAAGGGAGGGAGAAGGAGGGGCTGAGCGTGAGCCCTTCATGGGCCTTTGATCTCATGACCCTGAGATCAAGACCTGAGCTGAAACCAAGAGTTGGAAGCTCAACCGACTGAACCATCCAGGCACCCCTAAAGGCTCTATTTTTTTTTTAAGGTTTTATTTATTTATTAGAGAGTGATCGAGAGAGAGAGCACAAGCCAGGGGGAGAGGCAGAGGGAGAAGCAGACTTTCCGCTGAGTGGGGAGCCCAATATGGGGCTTGATCCCAGGACCCTGGGATCATGACCTGAGCTGAAGGCAGGCACTTAACCGACTGAGCCACCCAGGTGCCCCTAAAGGCTCTATTTTTAAATACAGTCATATTCTGAGGTACTAGGAGTGAGGATGTCAACATATGAATTTTGGTGGGGGGTCATAATTCAGCCCACTTCTTCCTATCATATATAGATATATAGATGTATTGATTTGATGATCCACTTGAAATCTGTAACAGACATTATGACATCTCACTCCTAAATACATTACTTTTTTTTTTTTAAGATTTTACTTATTTATTTAACAGAGAGAGAGAGAGCACAAGCATGGGGAGCAGTAGAAGGAGAGGGAGAAGTAGTCTCTCTGCCAAGCAGGGAGCCCGATGCAGGATTTGATCCCAGGACCCTGGGATCATGACCTAAGCCAAAGGCAGACACTTAACCACCCAAGCACCCTTACGTCACTTTTTAAAAAGATTTATTTATTTGAGCGGGGCGGTGGGGAGGGAGGGGGGCAGAAGGAGAGAGAATACTAAACAGACTCTGTACTGAGCTTAGAGCCAGACAAGGGGCTCTATCTCATGACCCTGAGTTCACAACCCGAGCTGAAACCATGAGTCGGACATTCAACCAGCTGCACCACCCAGGTGCCCCCTAAATATATCACTTTGCATCTCTTGAGAATAAGAATGTTGGGTTTTTATGTAACCTTAATACCATTATCACACTTGAGAAAATTTAAAATATTCTATGTATTTAATCCATATGGATTTTCCCCAATTATCCAGAGAATTTTTTACGACTGTTTTTTATTTTCCTAGATAATGATCCAATAAGATTCATACTTGAATTTGGTTTTTATGTCCTTTTAGTCTTTTAAAATCTAGAATAGTCTTGGGGCGCCTGGGTGGCTCAGTCGTTAAGCGTCTGCCTTCGGCTCAGGTCGTGATCCCAGGGTCCTGGGATGGAGCCCCACATGGGGCTCCCTGCTTGGCAGGAAGCCTGCTTCTCCCTCTGCCTCTGCCCTTCCTTCCTGCTCGTGCTTTTTCTCTCTCTCTCTCTCTCAAATAAATAAAATCTGAAAAGAAAAAAAAACACAACATCTAGAATAGTCTATCCTGCCCTGCCACCCATCGCATCTTTGTTCCCTGCCCCACCCCCCATATAGCACTAATTTTTTGAAAACACTGGCAGGTTGTCTATAGAATGCTTCACATTTTAGATTTGACTAATTATTTCCTTATGATCTAATTTAACTTGTTCCTCTCCAGACTCTGTTTATATAAATAGAAGTTAGATGTGGTTAGATTGTAGAACTGACAGTATTTTTTCTATTACGTCTTAGAGTCTCTTTCTCCTCCCCTTGACTCCAGGCCCAGCCATGTGACTTGCTTTGTCCAAGCAAATGTGACAGGAGCAGAGACTTGAAATGTGCTTGTGCGGCAGGACTTGCCAGTCCTTGCTGCCCTTGGGGGCCCTGGGACTGAGTGGGCCAGCCTGCTGGCTGAGGGCGGCGTGTGCTAACATCTCCATACCCCTTGCCAACGTCGAGCGTGAAGCCATCCTCAGCTATCGGGCTGGCTCAGCCCAGAATTATCTCTCTGATCCAAAGAACAATAGGAAATAATAAATGGTTGTTCTAAACCACTAAGTTTTGGGCTGATCTGTTCTGCAGCAAAAGCAGGTAATGCAGATATAGAGGCTTGATTAAATTCAGGTTACATGTTTTGGCAAGAAAACTTCATAGACGATGCTGGGTACTTCCATCACATGATAACACAAAGCCCTGGGGCGCCTGGGTGGCTCAGTCGGTTGAGCGCCTGCCTCCGGCTCAAGTCATGATCCCGGGGTCCTGGCATCGAGCCCCACATCGGGCTCCCTGCTCCGCGGGAAGCCTGCTTCTCCCTCTCCCACTCCCCCTGCTTGTGCTCTGTCTCTTGCTGTCAAATAAATAAATAAAATCTTTTAAAAAAAACGACAACAGAAAGCCCATCACGTCAATAGAGGGCTGACTTTTGAACCTGATTAAATGTGGATTAAGAAGACAGATTCCTGCTAAGGGGATCAAGGTGCTATCTCCCCTGGATTTTAGTGTCAGGTCACCCTTCAGCCGTCAGGGTTTGTAAGACACTATGGGTAGTAAGTGGTACCTTCCCTCATGTTCAGACTGACCAATACCCACCAGCAGCACCCACATTGGTTGCGGGGAGATTATCTCACCAAATTACAGCCACATATGTCTGTTCTAAATTTTAACACTAACAGGTATCATCAGTCTGACGACTTTGCTCTACCCAGCTTTGGAGTTGTGTCAATAGTCTTCTGTATAGGCAGAATCAAGCTAATATATAACTTCCGCTGACCAAATTGGTAACTACTCCATTCTTCCCCATTTTAAAGAAGTAGGTAGTTACTTAATACAAAATAAAAGGAGCGCTTCCACCCATTACCACTTGCAAAGAAATTACTAAATTATGGCATTGTTTTAATCAGAAGCTGAAACTGATGGGGTGCCCAGGTGTCTCAGTCGGTTGAGCAACTGACTATTGGTTTGGGCTCAGGTCATGATCTCAGGGTCATGGGATGGAGCTCTGTAGTGGGCTCCGTGCTCAGCGGGGAGTCTGCTTGAGGATTTGCTCCCTCTGCCCCTACCCCCGCTCGTGCACTC